GTAGTATTTACTGGAAAGAAAAAATACTACGGCATCCCACATAGAAGAGAACCCAACTTTAATAATAAGCTTTTCATTCGAGGGGTTGAGATTGTAAAGCGAGGACAGTCTAAACACTTTCGTGAGGTAGGTAAGAAGGTCATGGATGAATCTATGAAGGTGGATAATTCGCGTACCTTACATCAGATTGTGAAGGACGTGCTCAAAGAGATCATAAATAATATTTTACAGATAGACCTTACTGGGATGGTTAAAACTGCTGTGTGGAAGCCTGATAAAGATAATAAGTCTGTCCAACGCTTTATGTCACGAATGCGGGATAGACATACTCGTGAAGAAGCAGACGCCAAACAGCTTATAAAAAAGGGCCTAACACCCGAGCCTTATCTTTATGGAATCCCAGAACCAGGCGAATGCTTTGAGTATATTGTAGTTGAGAATGATTTTTCACAGAAGTGGGGGATAAAATGGAGTATCCAGAGGTAGTGAGGCGATTAGGTAAAAAGATAGATATCAGCTACTATCTGAAAACTGTTGTCGGTCTCTGTGCACGATTTATTAACTATGATGAAAGTTTCCAGCCATCATCTGAAATTGTGCTGGAAGCCTTAAAAAAGTTAAAAGCGGGTGATAATAAAGCGGATGATGATAGGATGGATGAAGACGACCTGGACGAAGATGAAGAGGATGAACACGAAATAGATGAAGATGAGGTATCGAAAATAAGAGATGCCTTAGCGCAGAAATCGGCTGAAAAGTGGGTTAGAGGATATATCAAAGAGCTACATACTGGTCCGAAAAAAGCTAAAACCATTATATCTCATTTATGAGAAGGGGCACGCATTTACGCAAAAACTTTATTTAATACTACTTATGCTAACAAGGGAGAACACCCGACTAACAATGCTTATTACCAACCATTTCTCAATTCGCTAGATAAGCAAGAAGAATCCATCCGCTTAAAACTTTCATCATTACTTAAAGAAATTTCTGAGGTTGATATAAAGTATAGAGACAGTATGTATAAATTAGTTACTAAGAAGCGAGCAATGTCCTTAGAACAATATTTAACATCATATTATTTGGATGAGTGTAAGCTACTAGCAGATTTCCGAAACACATAGTACAAAGTGATTGGCCTAGAAATCATACGCTACTGAACGTTATCGAAATTACAGGATAGTAAAAGAGATGATTCATCTGAAGCGGATATAGACAATATCATTGAACTATATTGCTAAGTATTCTTAGTGGGATGTGGTAATTTCAGCTAAGAAAACTTAGTCTCAAAGAGACAGTAATATTATTTATGACCGCATATTTTTTCTCGTAAAATAATACCAGCTAACTTCAATTCCTATCTTCGAACTTCCGGCCTAGGATGATATCTTCAAACTTCCGGCCTCCGATCATACAGTCCGGCCTCAGAAATGCCTGGAGTGATTTGGGATGATCATTAGTATTTTCACAAATCTACATATTTTAAAGATAAGCTTTATTGGTATAATGGCTGAACT